CAAATGGTACCGGGCCGCACAGTCTCAGTGCGGTCCGGTCCTGCAATATGGGGCAGTGCAGGGTCCCGGTGTTCGAACACCGGGGCCCCGCACTGCCGACGGGCTTCACAGTAAGGGGGCGGGTCCTGATTGTCTTTCTAATTCATTCTCCCATGTTGTCACATACTTAACCAGCCGAGCATCAAATCCCGCTGTCAAGGATCTATAAATAGTCGAAAAAACTACCTCTTCCAAGGGGGTCTCTCATACACTTTTTTTTTCAATTTTTTTTCATTCCGATGGTAATTTCACATTATATATTACAGAATCAGCAAAACTTTTAATTTGTAAATATCTAAATACTTCTGAGTGAGGGCGTTTATGCTTAGCCTGTATTTCTGAGAAGGGTATGATCCCAACCGAGGCAAACAAATCATATATTTTTCTTAATCCCGCCCCTTCCCGTCTAGAAAATCTTGCAGGTTCTTTGAGAAATTATGGATTCTTTATGATTGTTGCCAAAGGCATGTAGGGAGACATTAATCTTTCTGAATATCTTACTTCTTGAAAGTTAGATTTTTCATTTATTGTATCTCGTTATGGAGAATACAGCAAGTAGGAGGAGCAAAAACACTAAAGTGTCCAGAGAAGCCAGGGTCTTTGCTGGAATTCAACTAAGCAGAATCCAACTAAAACTAAATTTACTGATCACATTCATATTGTGAAATGTTTTAAGAACTTGAGTTCTCCTTTAGCCTTCAGTAAAGATACTTGCTTGAGGCCCCTCTCAGATTAAAAATACAGCACACACATAGCTTACATCTGAAAATTATCAGACAAGGGTGTTACAAGTACCATACATTACATCAAAGGATGCCCCTGACGCCTAACTTATAGAAGTTTAAAAAAATGGTGCTCTTGCATTAACTAAAATAAATCATCATGCCTTAGCAAATTCAAGGCTCCAGTGGTCTCCCACAAATGTTTTCTCTTGACAGCTCATCAGAGAGGCCCCTGCGTTTTTCGTATACGTTTGTGTGGTTTATTTTATTTTATTTTTATGTGTGTGGTAAAACAGACAAGTATAATTAGAAGCAGGGACAATGCAAGCTTGGTATATTTGCACTTGCACATGCTGTCAACAAGCAGCCATGTTTGATGTCGAAAGAGTGGTTGAGGCTCAATGTGAATTTTCAAACTGGAATTCTTTGTCCCTGTTATCTAGTTGTTACTGCTTTGGTTATAGTTGGCTCACACATTCACAGCCTATGATCTTCAGTTAATGACATGTTGCAAACAGCGTTTGTGAGCATTAGCATCCAAAGATATCAGCTATTGTAAAATAGGCTGCTGAAAGCCACCGTCTCTCTCTGCTGTGGGTGACTGTACAATATTCTTATTTGTGCTCGGATATTAAAGAAAGACTCGGGCACTAAAGTGGACAGGTAATCTAACCACCAAACTAGTGATAGGAAAACTACAAGCTTTTCTGTACAAATATAATGTACAATGTACCCATACTTCTCTCGGGAAACATTATTATTATTATTATACAGGAATTATATAACAGTTTGCGCAGCGCTTTACAATATAAGGAAGACATCACAATCACAATACAATTCAAGACAAGATGGTAAGGAGGGCCCTGCCCCTGAGGGCTTACAATCTAAAGGGGAGGGGCAAGTAATACATGAGGAGGTAGCTGTGTGGGGATGAATTGTTTGAGAAAGTGATAGCTCAGTGGTTAGTTTGAGGTGGGATAGGCTTCCCTAAAGAGAAGAGTTTTAAGGGATCGCCTAAAGGCAGTCAGAGTGGGAGATAGTCGGACAGGTTGGGGTAAAAAGCTCCAGAGGATGGGAGAGACTCTAGTGAAGTCCTGAAGGTCAGTATGGGAAGAGTTGATGAGGTATATGTACTCAAGGTCCTCTTTCCCACTGCTGTATCAAGAAATGTATGCCAAAAATATTACAGGGCCCAAACTAAAGTAAAACTCCAGACAGAATATTTGGCACATGGAATCCTGAGTTTTTTAGATGCGCCAAATAATAGTTCAATTGGAAGGTTTGGAAAAGAAAGATGCAGCTAGTAAACCAGTTGTAAAAGAACTGAAACAAAAACTTCCGCACAAAACAAATAACAGTTCAGAAACTGAGTATGGCAATATTTGGGGCAATAGAAATGTGCTGTACTGTGCTAAGATGATGCACCAAATACACAATATGCACTGCGACATAATAGTGTGACATGCAATGCACCAAATTACGATATCACTCGCCCCAATTTGCATTCTACAACAACCGCCAATCTTGGTTTATCTGTCCCAAAGTATAACTTCTGTGTTCAGATGGTGCTGTTTGGGCATGAGGACTGAGTAAAGGCTCCTTCACTTATGTGAGTACAGTAATGCGCATTTCTAAAGAGTGTTCCTGCATGGGTTTTTTTATTTTTGGTCTTGTGTTACGTAAGGGAGAAATATTTTTCATGGTGCAGATTTAAATGATATGTGCATTTGTAGGCATTTGCTATTATTTTTCCCTTTCTTCATACATGCAAACGCACATTTCATTATTTATTACAGGTATTTATATAGTACAGACAATTGATGTCACACTTTACATATTGTACAATCACATCAATCTCTGCCCTCAAGGAGCTTACAATCTAAGGTCCCTACCTCACTTGCATACATACCCATACTAGGGTCAGTTTAGACAGGAGCCAATTAACCTTCCAGCAAGAAGTGTAGGAGTAAACCAGAGAACCCATCGGAAACCCACGCAAGCATAAGGAGAACATGCAAACTCCATGCAGATAAATGGATGTCTTGTTTTTGAAAAGTGTGCTAAGCTGCAACACACAGATGTGAACTAGTCACATTGCAACAAATGGGATTTTTAACGGAGGTGGATTCTCAGGTCCTATAATGTGTTTTACGGCAGGAAACGGGCATACTCACATGGGCACAGAGACCCATACAGAGTGAGGAGGCCCCTTGTTTATGTGTCTGGGAGTCACAGGTGTCCTGTGCACCCGCAGCCTCTTAAAAATCCATGACAGGCTGGCATGCCTAGCAGCTGTACAGACTGTACGTATACATGCATAGAGGGATGGATGCACAGCCCCGGATGCAATCTATATGCCTCCAGGACCATGCATCCCTCTCCCTGTACATATGTATACACTGGTGATGTGCAGGAAGTTCTGTACAGCCTCTGGGAGTATACAGATTGTTGAAACTGTTTCAACAGTTTGCAACAAAAAAAACAAAAACACAGGTTTTTGTTGTGCGACATTGTGAAGTCACACTGCCATGCCAAGGCCCCTCTGCAAACTGTGGTCCCTAACTCTAATCTAACAGATTTCCCAATCTGAAGCACATACAGCAATGCATACATTGAGAACAGGTATGTATTGGATGTAGCCCATTCCACCTTAAAGGTGCTGAGACACAACTGAAGTCCAGGACCCACTCAATGGTAGCTGAAGATCTCTAGTCTGTATGTGCACCAAATACAACACACAAAGTCAAAATTGCATCTGCTCTGATCCATTTAAAACTAGCTTTTTGGGTTAGTTCACACCATAAACTGCATCACAACTGCGTGCGTCTGCGCAGTTGCATTGTGATCCGTGCTGACGCGTTCCAATGCGTTTTTTTTTTAAACTAAATGCTAATTAGACCATTAGGTAACTTCATTTTTCCTGTCAGAGCATTTCCTTCGTTTGTTTTGGAGCTCAGACATGCTTTCTTTGTTGGCAGGCATGGGGATAGTGTTGGCTGTAGCCACTCTCAAAGAGGAAGTCCCTGGATGATGACAATCAATTCTGTGTTTTTTGGGGATGCGTTCCGTTTTGATGCATTTTTGATGCATTTTGATGTGTTCCGCTGCGATCAGATGCAGCTGAAATAGGACGAGCAGTACTTTTTCTGACTACATCTGAACGGACTGCAATGGTGTGAATACAGCACGAGAAAGCTCATAGAAAAGCAATGTGATGTATTTTGGCTGCAGCAGCCAAACTGAACGAACTGCATCACAACTGCATATGGTGTGAACTAACCCTTAAAGTAATAGGGATGGGGCTGTGAACTCCTCTGCCCATGTGCACCTTACTGCCACCGATGTACATTGAGAGTGCTGGAAGGTTTTCTCAGAACTCCCAGCAAACTACTAATAGCAGGAGGCAACAAGGATACATAACCATTCAATGAGCCATATTTAAATGTCTAAAAGAGCAACTAATTATGCTTCATACTGTAATCTCTTCTAATTTGTATTGAAAAAGGAAAGGGGAGGTTCTGATTATAGGATAAGGGCAATGCAGTTAATTCTTGTTAGACACTTTGATGACACTTTTGAGCATAAATACTCTAGCCGTCATTATGGCTCATGCACAGGCGTATTATTTTACATAGCATCTTGCTGGTGGCATGTAACGCATGTAGCCTTTGTGCCAAAACTTGCATGTGTACAGTATATAGCACAAATATACCCTATTAGGTGTTCCCAACTAGCATTCTTCATTGCTAGGATGCAGGGGGCTCCTACCATCCAGCATTCTTTATTGCTAGAATGCAGGGGGCTCCTACCATCTAGCATCCTTCATTGCTAGGATGCAGGCAGCTCCAATACAGGACATTTGCATTGCACATTGTACACAAGTAAGTGCTAAAACAAATGTGTACCTGCATGCAGTGAAAAATATGGCCCATATGCACATTTTTCTTCTTTTTTTTTTAACTGTCAAAATGTGGCTATGGATTACAGAGCTGCGTACAGCTGTGTGCAATGGCCCATAGACTAGAATACTGATGCATTCGGATCTGTATAAACCGCGCCAGTATTCTACGACAGTGTACATGACCCTTAAAAATACAGCTTCTTTTCTCAACGTAACAATGTCAACTATTTGGCGAATATGGGAGACAGCTACATTTTTTCAAAACAATAGTAATACAAAAATGAATAGATAATTCTATACTGTACATCATTTATTAACTGAACACTGAAAGGGATTACCTCATGATGAAGGGGATGAAAGGTGCCATGCTGAGGGCCGAGTAGGTGCCATCCATTGGAGAGGGGTACAGCTTACTAAGGATAAGCAGCAGAAGGTACAGACTAGGGTGAAGCTTTGACTCTCCTGTGGGACTAAAATAAAAAAAAAAGACTTACTTATCATAGAAATTAAACTTTATAGACAGACAGACAGACATGCATACAGATAATAATATTTTACTGAAGTCAAACCACTCAAAACATATATTGCATATGGGTGGCTAATGGTGACCAATCACCATCTCTGGGGGCTCAACTAGTAAGTTCTTGACAGTTCTGCCGCTTTTACTCAGTAGTTTGACCCCCTTCTGCTACATCTATAGTATAAATTCTAACAAGAAGAGTGAGACTCCCTTGTAATGCCATGGTAGGTGGGCAGATCTGAGAATTCAGGTGCAGAGATGTATTAGCTTGAGATATACCAGAACCAGTGAACATTGAGACTGCAGATATAAGACTGTTTACTAAAAATTTTATTAAAGCACTATATATCAAAAGATTGTAATATTTTTTTTCTCTCCATGAAATACTGTATTCACTTCTTTTTGCATTTCCATGCTGATCTCCTTCAGCCCTTTTCAGCCATTTTCTGTCTAAATGCACTCCCACCGGGGACCAGCTTCCTAACAGTGACATTAGTAGACCAGCGTTTTTGCACGCTTTAGCGCACGTTTGTGATGTGCCTTTTTTTGCACGTTTTATGCACATACGGCAAAAAGCGTGTTTTTTATAAAAACACGCGAAAACGAAGCAAACGGGCGTTTTCAAGCGTTTCCCTTTTCAGTCTATGGGGCCAAAACGAGCTGCAATATGTCAAAAAAAGCTCCTGTACTTTTACCAGCGACAGGTGTTTTGCTTTTTACGACAAAATGCTCAGATGTGAACAGTGCCATAGAAATGAATGGGATTTTTTTTTTTGGGGGCAGATTTTTGGAGCGTTTTCTAGGGCAGAAAATGCGCTACAAAACGCTCAGTGTGAACCAGAACTAATGAAAGACCAATACTTACCTGTCCAGCTGGTAGTGAGTCAAATCTTCATTTTCTTCAAAACAAGCAACAAGCTGATTTTATCAGACATTTTGACATGTGCTGGAGAAT